GACGAGCCTCCGCCTCTGCTGCCGCATTTTTGATGACTTGATCCAACTTCTCATGCCACCAAAGTCCCCAGGCCATACCGCGTCCTGCCTCATCCCAATCGGGAGGTGTACCAGGCGCAGTGTCCAACCCCTCCGCAGTGGGGCCGTCTGGGTGTTCCCAAGTCAAGTGGTCTTCGTTATAGAGAGGAGGCGAAAGTGCCCCCCCTTTAAGTCTACTAGCCCCTGACAGGGCTTCGTGATCAGGTGGAACGATATCCAACCTGCGCGCACGAGACCCGATGAGGTCCAAGGGATCGTCAGACAATCCACTATGGGAAGCTGCCACCGAAGGAGGTGGCGTCCTTAGAGTATGAAATATCATTTCCAAGGGATGAGATGCAAGCTCGTCAGAGCCGCTATGAACAGAGGAGCCTACCCTCCAAGACGGAGGAGGGGAGATTCCTTGATTAGTGCGAAGCACTTCTTTTGAGGTGAAGTACCTGACCTCCAAAGCTTCCTTCGGTGTCTGGTCCAACAACCTGTACCCTGGCTTTGCCTCAGCATACCCAGGGGCCATATTCTCGAGAACGTTTGTGCATAGCACATCGTTCAGGGCTACAACGGGACTCTTGTACTTTTTAGGTGCAGGAATCTCGACAGATGATGAGTGTCTTTCGGCACTCTTGCGATGACCGCCTTGGAGCAGAGCTCTAAGAGGGTGGGTATCTGAGAGAGTAACTGTTCGCGCAACAGAGTGTAACAGCATCTTTCTCAAGTGAAGGTGGATAGGCATGAGGCCAGCAAGCGCCTCAAGCCCTCCAGTGGGTGTGGTGCGGAAAGCACCTGTTATCCAAATAGCGGCCTTACGCTGCATTTGCTTGAAGGTGGCCAGGATGCCCTTGATGGGGGCGTCCTTATAGAACCACAGACGATACCCGTATGTAGCTATGGGAAGTACACACGCGCGATAGAGACGGCGCTTCTGGTCAGGGAGGAGACCCCGGCTGGAATTGCCTAGCATGCCCATGGCCTGTACAGTGAAGGCGCGCTGGCCTAGCGGTTTCAGCGCGTCTTGGGTGGCTGTGCACCATCCGCAGAGGTCGAGGGTTCGAATCCCTTGCTTGACAATTACCTCAATTACCAAAGATTGTTGCACGGGTCTGGAATGGCACGTGCACGCCTCGTGGCACCGCGTGGTGACGACTGGGGGTAGTGTGGCCACCGTCGGTCTGGATTGGTTAAGCAAGTACGACCGTTCCGGGCCGTTGGTTAAGTCAAGTTCCACTAACGCCTCTCGGAGCACTACGGGTCGAGAGCTCGGCACTGCGTAAGCGGTCCGGGGCCGTGGAGTGCGGGTCCTGTGATCCATATCGGCCATCTGCGTCGGTAGTGGTGAGAACTCAAAATGTCTAAGGCATCGTGCAAGCCTCGGTGCTAACCCGCAAGGGCCCGAAAGGATAAGGCACGATAAGATCTGGTATTGGTGTAAAAACAACCCGAACGGCCGAAAGGTCCAGGGCACCAGACACCTTGGAGAGCGGCGTGCTTCCGAGGTCGTTAGTCACTGGCACATAACTCTCGATCGGCACAATCGGGTAACGCTAGTAGGCAAGACAGAGACTCTGGACAGATTGGGGATCCGCGCCGGTCGGCATCAGCGAACCATCTGCCAGGGAACGGGAAAGCATGACTGGGTTTGCGCCCAGAAACGGCCGGGCCATAGCAGGATCAGGTAGTCCCTGTACCCTGGCTCGAGAGTTCTAAATCCTCTGTCGGTCCGCTTGGTCATAATAAGGCTAGGTTCGGGCTTAAGTTGATACCGGGGTAGTGGGAAATAAGTGTACCAAACGGGTAGGTAGCAGTGTGTGCAAAGCCGCAGCGGATGTTAGACTGGAGACGGTGTGTAAGACGACCCTGGTGCAAAGCCGCAACCTGAGGCTGAGACGGCATAAGTCGCCCCTGATCCTGCCGATTGGCGGA